TGCCAAAAAATCTAAAAAAATTTCTATAAATACCCTCCCTCTAAAATCAGTTTTTTTTACAACAAACTCTCAGTTCCTTACTCTCACCATCTCCATTCTATGTTTCTAAATCATTTTGATTTTTCGTGCTCGTTTTCTATAAATTGATCCGATTGTATATAATTCGGTTCCGATCATATAAAAAACTCATATTTCGGTTTTATCATGTTCTTCATCTCTCCTTTTATCAATTTTTGTTATATATTTTTTTATAAAATGTCGAGTTCTCGTAGTGGTGCCGACAGTCTTCCCCCACAAAATGAATTCATGAATGTCCCGGTGCTACCCGATGATGTTGATCCACAGACGATCTATCGCATCTTTCACTCTATTGATGAAATAGAAGATATCTACCTGGCCGAGCAGCAACAACCGCTAGACGTGGATGACGACGACGAGACCCAACCATATGAAGACGATTTTGATCCTACTGAAGATCGTAGAAGGGGTCACCAACGTCAACCTCTGACTCCGACGGTGGTAATAAAGCGAAAAAAAAACAGCAATCTTCGCAAGGCATTTCACGAAGATGCTCTACCCGGAACTAGGCGGCAAACATTTTATATGTACTTGCAACTACTGTCCGATCAACTCGAGAAAGCAGTACACTTGGAAAACAGCGATGGGTACGGATCCATGCAACTGCACATACAACGTCATCATCCGGCAGAAATGAGGATTCCCTCGACACAAACGCAACTTCCGACTGGTAGTTACTCAGCAGGTATGTCTTCAACTATATTTCAGTACTCACATGAAAATCATAGACATCATCTAGGTGAATTTGTTTGTGCATATCATAGACATCATCTAGGTGAATTTGTTTGTGCATCCTCTCTTCCTTTCGGTTTTGGTGATTCCAACTTACATAAAAAAATTTTGCTCAAATGGCTTTAAATCTAGCTGCGCGACGTGTTCACGCACTACTCTCACCCATGATATTGGAAAAATTGTGGCTGAAAAAAAATTAATTTTGAAGCAAACTTTTTATGATTTACAACAAAGAGTTTCTATTTGGTTTGATCATTGGTTATCAAACTATTACCTAGAAATTACTAGTCATTGGCTTGATAATAGTTTTTAATTACAAAAACGTTTAATTGCTTATAAGCCATTTAATATTAATCATACCGATAGTAATATCGCTCATTTGATTTCACGTGTCACAAATAGTTATAACATTAGTAGAAAATTTTTTTCCATATGTGTTGATAATGCTAGTGCTAATACTGAATCCATTGGTCAACTTCAACTAAACTTTAAACCTATTTTTGAGGAATATTTTTACACATTCGTTTGAACACAAATATTAAGAATATGAAATATACAACGGATGTGAAAAAATATTCCCCACAAATAGGTTTAAAATTTAGTTGAAGCTGACCAATGGATACAGTATGAGAACTAGCATTATTAAAAGATATGGAAAAGAATTTTTACCGATGTTGTAACTATTCGTGACACGTGAAATCAAACAAGCGATATGATTAATATTAAATAGCGTATAAGCAAATAAACGTTTTTGTAATTGAAAACTATCATCAACCCAATGACAAATAATTCCTAGCTAATAGTTTGATAACCAGTGATCGGACCAAATATCACAAAAAATAGAAACTCTTTATTGTAAATCAGAAAAGTTTGCATCAAAATTAATTTTTTCTGAGCCACAATTTTTTGAATATCACAAGTGTAGTACGTGAAACCCGTCGTGCAGCTAGGTTTAAAGCCATTTGAGCAAAATTTTCAAATAAGTTGGAATCACCAAAACCGAAAGGAAGAGAGGATACACAAACAAATTCACCTAGATGACTTCTATGATTTTCATGTGAGTGTTGAAATACAGTTGAAGACGTACCTGCTGCGCAACTACTAGTCGGGAGTTGCGCGTTTGAGTCGTGGGAATCCCCATTTCGGCCGGATGATAACGTTGTATGTACCGTTGCATGGATCCGTACCCATCGCCAGTTTTCCAAGTGTACTGCTTTCTCGAGTTGGCCAAGACAGTAGTTGCAAGTAGATATAAAATGCTTGTCGCCTAGTTCCGGATTGGGCATCTTTGTGAAATGCCTTGCGAAGATTGCCAATTTTTTCGTTTTATTACCGTCGGTGGCCGTCGGAGTCGAAGTAGGAAAAAATGGGCCATCAGCCCGGACCGAGCTCGGCGGGTCATGAATGACCCTGAAACGGCTCGAAAAAAATCCGGTCCGGTTCTGGACCAGTGGTCAACGGGCCATGTCTAGGTCTGACGAGTCTTCTTCTACATGTTATTATGGGCCTTATGCAGGATAAACGAAGCAGCAAGCCTCAAACGTTGGAGATTGGTAGACTTCTTCTCATGCTGGTGGTTCGATCTCAAGGGTAAAGGGAATTGGATACCAAGAGCTCGAACACTACCTCTCGTCGAATTTGAGACTTAACATTGCTCGTGCACCAACCTCGCCACTCAAATTCGACATCTCGGATTGGTGGTAAAATATGAGCGAAATTTATCATATTTCATGCAATATGGCAAGGAGATTTTTGTTGTCCCGGCCTCAACAGTGGCCGTTGAACAAACATTTAGCGAGGGAGATATACGTTGGACGCACGACGGTCAAGGTTGACACCACAAAAGTTGGAGAATCAAATGTTGCTTGGTGATTGGAGGAAGGCCGAACAAAGGATGCAAACAGGCATGCTAACTAACGAAGAGGATATATAGAAGACGATTGTTCTGATTTCACTAGTGTTACCGGAACTGAAGACGACTACCAGACCTACGACTACGAGTAAGATAACTAGAGCGCCGATCGACTCAACAACGCATCCTAAAAGGTAAGTGTAAAAAAGAGAATTACGAGGACTTTGATTCCCAAGATAAGGGATACGTAGACAACTTAATTGACATATTGCAAGTTAAAAAATATTATTTTAACCAAAAAAGAATTTCAATATATTTGATATTTTAACTTGTGATATGTCAAATAAGCCCAAGTCAATTCTAATATTCTCTTTTTTATAATATAATTTTTTTTTCTAAAATGATGACTCTGCCCGGACCCAGTTAATCGGGCCATTGCCGACACGAGCATAGGTCCGTGCCAGGTCCGGGTCCTTGTTTTCGAAACGGTAGGCCCGTGTTTTGGCCATATTGGGGTCAATTCAGGTTCTTAAACAGGTCTGAGTGCATCAAGTTCTCTGTCTCCACCTGACATTGCTCCTCCAGATGGAATACCTGAAGTTCCCTAAGTACAAAAAAATCTGACAAATAGACCTGATAAATGAATATAGGTGGACTATATGTCAAGACTAAATAAATTAAGATTGTATATATTTGTTCGACTTGTCACAACTTTTCTAGCTAATTTATGAGTAACAAACTCGAGCTGGATTCAAAACTAATTCAGAAGCCTGTGGTTATTTTGTGTATCATTGTACCTACGGAAGTACACTTTTCAACATGCTCAAGGAGACCCGTCTAAGCATACTAAAAGGCCGATAGACAATAATTTGAATTTTTGCCTTGTTAACGGCGACAATAATTTGAATTTTTGCCTTGTTAACGGCGAGTGCTTGGAGGATAGGGCAAAATATATACATCTTATGGTGAAACTCACCCATTTAACAGTTACTGACATCTTGTTTGCAGGTAGAGTGTTTAGTTGATTAGTGGACAAACAAAACAAGTTCATTTGGAAGTTGCTCTTAAGATACTAAGGTATATTAAAAAGTCTCCTGGGAAAGGATTGTCTTTTGGAGACATTGGCACTTGAGTAACAATCCACTTTTGGATTTTGCACTTATGCTGGGGGACATCTGGAGAGATGATGTTGTAAAAAGAAAACCACTGCTACTAGATCGAGTGTTGAAGCAGAGTATAGTGCCATGGCCCATACTGTTATTTAGATTTTATGATTGAATTTACTCGAACAACTTGGATATACATATAATGAGCCATTAGCAATGTATTGTAATAACCAAGCGACGATTCACATTGTTAGTAACCATGTTTTTTATGAAAGAACAAAATATATTGAGGACGATTGCCACTTAATCTGTGATTATGTAATGAGCCAGAAGATTGTTACTCCTTTTACCCCCATCATCCAAGCAAACTATTGACATCTGTATAAAAGCGTTAAACATGAAGCATTTTTCTGAGCTATGAGACAAGTTAGGCATGGATGATATTTATATATATATGCTCCGACTTGAAGGGGAGTATTTGAATACTTGTGTATATTTTCCTTATGTAAAAATATTATGTATATCTTCTTATTGGGTAGATTGAATTTATTTGATTTATCTTTGTAAGGTAGGTACTAGGTAGATCGTATATATTTTTTACATAATGTATCTTGATTCTTTCCTACCACTTTCCACTATAACTACTGAGTTTGTACTACTCAACACACAACAAAAAATTATTCTCCTTCTTTTACTTCTCTCCTTTGTCAGAGGCATCCTTTCTAACATCATCAATGTAATCATTTGTTATGCTTCACCTTAGAATCTGATCAGTTCATGTATAATGAATGACTTCGCTATGTGACCTTGAAACATCAAGCAAAAAGGTAGAAGCATCCACATCCAAATTCCAACAATTGCATTCTGTAGGACCTCAATATATTTTACATTGCCTATTTATATCACTAGAGTATTTCATTACCTGGAGATTGATTCGGTGCCATTATAAGATGCAGTCAATGCAATAACCACAGCGCCAGTGATGACAAGCTGTAAGCCCAAGATTCTTTGAAGTTCATTTATCCCAAATTTCTGCAAATTAAAACCGCAACGTTCTTGTCATGGTTATAGCACTGAGCACCAAAATGTCAAACATAAAGTAAAAAACATGTCATAAAAACCTTTAGGGTGATGAAAAATAGGCTGAAGGATAGCACGGCTGATGCCAAACAATATAAACACAACTCCCCACCAAATTCAGTTCTGAGAATATATAAGAAATATGCACTAGCAACTGCCATAGCGGTTGTTATTCCAATTAAAACAATTTCACCAACTGTTTTCTTAGCACCGAATAGCCTGTTCTTTGCATCCAGTTGTAAACCAAGAGTTGCGACTAAACCATACGCAACCATGCCAAATAATGGAAGAGGAATGCCTGACAACAAGGAAATAAACCGTAAGTTTCTTCTAAAGAACTTGCAGGAAAATAGAGACAGATTTTGCTTCCAGCAGAAAATTGCCAGCAGAAAGAATATTCTCTGGAAGTGCTAACAAAGGTGCTGAACAGATGAGAATGATACCGCCAAACATGTGATATTTTGAATGATGAGGCCAAAAAAAAATTCAGGGTGACTGAAAGAGTTTTTTTTTTTTTTTCATTAAAACAATTCGTCACACAACTGTGTAGAACCTTTAGAATGTTAAGATCAAGAAAACTAAAGAGCGAAATCTTTATATGTGTGCTCATTCTACTTTCGTCATGTTTATGGAACATAAAGATCTTTCTTTCAGTCAATTCACTTAAAAAACTCATTTTATCTATTTTAGATAATAAAACCACATTAAGAACTATTAACACCATTAAGAAGCAACAGTGAACATCCACAAGGGATATGAAAAAAATATGTAATAAGTAGGTATACATAGTGGTATATTCATCTTAAGGTACTGTATTTATGCTAGCTAGTCCATTTATTAGATGAACTCGACTCGGAAACAGCAGAATTTCACGAATTCCAGATTCATTTCAAATCTATTTAAATACCATTCAAGCAACACAAAAAAGGAGTTAGTTATATTTCAGGTTCCAAAACCCTTTCTTTCTTGCCCTAAAGCTTTTACTCTAGCTCTCACTCATCTCACAATCATAAATTCGCTCTGCCTGGATCCAAGGGATTCTTTCTTTTTCAGGTTCCCTTGTCTCTATAACACAAAGGAAACAGAATCTCAATTGCAACTATAGCTGGATAGAACCTTGAAAACACACGATCACTTACTCTCTAGTACACATATGTTCCAAAATGTACTAATAACCCTCCAAAGTCAGAATATCACAACTAATTTAAAAAAAGTCGGAAATTACAGAAGATAACTATATAGATAACAAGAAAACCCACTGCAGAATACAAATTCACACACAGACTGCCATAAGTAACTACTTTTCACATTATCCTTCCAAAAGCATAAGTTAAGCCAAGTACCAAAAATGGATGAATAGGCGCTTGTGAGGATGGTAGTGCAAGATCCTCCTCCCATTGGGCAGAAGGCATCCGAATCCGTGAGCTTAAGGTAAGTCAAATATGCTGTCTCAAGGAACCCAATTCCTCCAAGAGCCGCACACCATTTGTAAGCTGTGATGCCTGCGTCATCAACATCGTCATTGACAAAAGAAGATGTAGAAGATTCCAAAGAAGAACTCGAAGAGGACGATTCCAATTTGGACTCTGTAGTCTGCTCCCTGCGTTCTGACACGCAATTTACTTGAACCAACAAATTACCATGCCCCCAAGCTCCTCTCTACCAATCAAAATGCAATTACGGTCATCATCAATCGAATCGTAATCCGAGAGAAGGAGATAAAAGGTAGCACTCACCGTGAATTGGGGATTTGGAAGAGCGGTAAAGAGATGAGGAGATGAGAGAAATGGAGTTGGACGGAAGTGAACAGAAGAGGATGACATGCTGAAGAAGCTACACATCCTGCCGCCACAATCAGCTACCGCGGCTGGGTGGGTTTTGCGTTCGCATACAAATATCTACTTTCTACATTAGAGGGTTACGGAATGCCGTGCTTAGTGGCGATTGCTAAATAAGATCAAAGAAATCGGTATTTACACTGAATTAGTATTCACACAGTAATTTTCTATATCTATCTATATCTATCTATCTATATCTATTAGGAATGCTATGGAGCCAATGGTTGACTTCTTTATGGAGCCAGCCACCAATGTTATAGTGTCACGTAGGCCATGTGAAAAAATAATTAACTTCCCATGGCTTACGTGGCACTATAACATTAGTGATTGACTCCATAGCATTTCTCCTATATCTATATCTATATCTATCTATCTATATCTATACTACTCCAAGACCTCGTTTGTTATCCAGGACATGACAAGATTGCACCATTAATCTACCATTTATCCGGCGTTTGTTTACCTAGATTCCGGCCCGAAGATAACTTGAAGCCCGCGATGTACAGTGTTTTTGTCATGGGAAACCTCTCGTAGGTAAGATTATTGTTGTCTTTACAGTATTAAATGTCTGAATTTACCAAAGTGTCCCTAAAAGTAAACAAGTTTGACCATATTAACGTCTGTCAAGTGAAATTTACATCTTCTACCATTCACCTAACACTCACAAAAATCATTCACAATAGCAAAGACGGAGTGTCGTTCTCTTGTCCTGTTGTAATCGAAAAATTATTTTCTTCGAGATCTGGCCGCCGCTCACCGCTAGTTTACGATTCATGGATTTGTGAGCCGCCATCCATGTCCGAATGACCCTCCTTCCTTGGTAGCCTCTCGACCACCTTCAATAAAAAATCTTGCCACAACCACCATATATTTATGGCTATCTTGCACTGGAAAAGAAGAAAGCAACATGAAACACAATCTAGTGGAATTTGTTGTGTTGTGCTAAAATTAATAATGGGAAGGTGAATTGATTTGTGATTTTGAGAAATTTGGTTTGTGATTTTAATGTGTTGCAGTGTGGGTGTGCAGAGAAAGGCAAAACAAAAATTTAAAATAAAAATAAAAAGGAAGAGTTGAATTCGGTGAATTTTGGTATCGGGTGTGTGAGGAAAAAGATACTTGGCTTGATGAGAGCATTATTTGGTGTTGGGCATGAGAGTGGAATTTGGAATTTTGGTGCATAGTTCTCAATTCATTTAAAAATCGCAGTATTTTTCATATTTCGTTTCTCAAAAAAAAAAAACAAAGAAAGGAAAAACAGTGTTATATTAATTGTGCAAAAAAAGAGGAGGCATGCAGAAAAACCCAGCTTTTATATTAACTGTGAAAAAAAAAAGTAGCATGCAGAAAAACCCAGCTTAAATACACGCAGATCATCATTGAGAAGTGGAAAAAAAAAGTTTAATATGAGGGTTAAATTGGTAAATGTACATCTAATCGTAGTCTTTGTCCAAGGAAACAAACACATAAACAAAATAACAAGATAATCTTATCTTGAGTAAATCAAAGATAACAAACCTAAGTGTAGTCTTATCTCTACAATTTAATCTTAGATCTCTAGATAAAATTTGACTAATCCCATCTTGGTAAACAAATGTGCTCTAAAAGGATGAGTGTTTTTGTAAAATTTTGAACTACCTAAAACACTCTTACTTTGACATATTATATTTTTAACTAATCATTAATATTTACCTAAAAATTCCTTTATAATTATTTATTATGTTGTTTTTGTTGCATCATTTTCTCTTTAAAGAAATTTTATATATTAAACCCATTAAATATGATTACGATTTCATCATTAAAATTATAATAAAAATAAGGACTTTTTTCAAAATAATAATTCTATATCATTTCAAAGATTGTTGTTTGGGTTAATATTGGGTTGATCTTTTACAGATATGGAAGAAAATAGTTTGAGAGATATGTGGAAGAAAACACATTATTGAGGATTAATGGTGTAAAATATTGGGGTTGATTTTTAAGAGATGTGGAATGTTTTGTTCGTGTAATTGTATTTAGTTAATTAAATATTAAATAGATATTAGTATATTACTAATTTGACATTAATAATATGTCAAATAAGGAAATTTTTAGGTAAATATTAATTATTAGTTAAAAATATAACATGGGATGGATATTAGTGTATTACTACTTTGCCATTAAAAATATGTCAAAGTAAGTGTATTTTAGATAGTTCATTTTTTAATTAAAAATACGACATTATTAATTTACCATTAAAAATATGTTAAAATAAGGGTTGATTTTTCTTTGAAATAATATAGAATTATTATTTTGAAAAAGGTCCTTATTTTTACTATAATTTTAATGATGAAATCGTAATCATATTTAATGGGTTTAATATAATAAATTTCTTTAAAGAAAAAATGATGCAACAAAAACAACATAATAAATAATTATAATGAATCCAAATTTTTTCAACTATTTATTTACCTATCTTTTAACAAAATGATAAATCTCGGTAAAATGTGACAACTTAGTTGAGGGAATACTTGGATAAAATAAATTATTTCAAAGATACATACTTAACAATAATATTTATTTAGTTTTATTAATAACTATAAGTAAAAAAGTTTAAAGTCGATATTGCTTGAGGATGTCCTCATAACGACCATAAACTATAGAAATGTATTTTTTTATTCAAAATAACCTATAAAAAAGAATAGATTGTGCAATAGTATGAGATATAAATTGTTGAACAATTGTTTTGCAGCATAAATTTCTAATCTACTCAATTTATTTACTTTAAATAAGATTACAATAATTTTTATGAAAGTTCATAATACTAAAACCTGATACATTTGTTTTCATGTTGAATGTGATACTACTTGAGCAATAAATTATATATAATCAAAATTTCATAATACTAAAACCCGATATAATTGATGAATGTATAAATTATGAATATATAACTAGATTTCTACATACATTTAGAAAGAGATAATAAATATATTTTAAAGTTAAATAAAAATTATGTCGCAAAAAGGAGAATATAAGTTATCAAGATTAAAAAGAAAAGAGAGAATTAGAGCGTCAAATTATAAATTTTTATAAATATCATATTTCCTTTAGTTGTGATACCGCCCTTATGTTATACCTTTAATAAAGTTATGAGATGAATTAAATTATAATTGGTATGAGTTTTAAATTAATTCATTGTGTATCTTTGTGTCTTTCAATTTTATTTTATAAATAGGGGGCATGAATAAAATTATGAAAAATATTCCCATAATTTTTGTTAGATATCTTATGCTATATGTTTTGGGATAAGGCCTGTGTCGGGACTGTTAAATAAATATGGATCTGCCCATGATTCCAACAAAATATTTTTGTTAGAATTTTCATTGAAAAATTCAAACGAGAGTAGTAACATTGAAATATTCATTAGAATTGTCGTTGAAATTCCGTTTTAACATGTTTTCATTGGAATTTCATCATTGTCCTGCCGTAAAATTGTGGTTCCAAATCAAACTAAAAAATTTTGCATTATATATAATATTGTGTGCACTTTATAATTTTTAAAATTGTTGACAGTGATACAAATATAACACATTCAATGTAACTATATTCAATTTATGATAATTAGTAATTTTTTTTTTTTAAAAAAAAAAGATACATCATACATCTGGTTGAAAAGTCTTTAATTATTTTATTAGTATTATAGTAACTAAATAAGAGCTAAGAATGATGTTCTACGTATTAAAAAGGTAAGACTACACAATGATAAATGTAAAATATATTTTAGATGCACATTTATAAAAAATATATTTATTTTTTTTGTATTGGAAATTGGTATGTTAGTTTTCAAAAAAAATTAGTTAAAAATTTCATTAATCTTTACCATTAAATTTTTTTAATTTTGAAATACTTGATATTTTACCCTTTTATATGTATTATATCATATCATTTCTTTCAAATGATGTTTGATTTGATCAATGTATTGTATATAAGATAAAAATAATATAATTATTTCTATCAGTATAAAATAACATATATATATATATATGTATATATACCAATTTAAAATAATAAATGGACTTAAAAGTATCTTATAAAATAAATTATATATCCATGTTAACTCAATTTAATTAATTATAAAATAATATTAGGTAAACTTTTGGTATGTTAATGGATGTAAACGTACAACTATTACCAATATTAACTATGTGAATTAAAAGAAAAAATAAAAAAGAGTTATGTTAAATTATTATTCAATTAATGCTTGAAAGGAAACACCGTAATGGTTGTAAAATATATTTTTTGTGACTAAAAAAATGTGTTAGTTACTTAATATTTTATCAAACAGTGAAGAAAAAATCCAAAACTTTTTAATCTTATAAACAATATAAAAGTACATTTTTATCAGATATATTATTACTATCAAACACGTTAAAAAAAAACGCAAAGCATACAAATTTGTTCTAATTCTTTCAACAAATAAAATATCATTTGGCAATAAAATAAAAAACAAATAAAACAATAGAAATGCAATGGGAAAAATAAAAAGTTTGAATTTTCTTAGAAAAGTATGAATACCAATATAAAGAAATAAAAATCTTTTAAAATTACTACTTTTTTTGTTAATATCATTTAAATATATGTTCTCTATAAGAAATTGGTTCTCGTAAATAATGATTCCATATGATCATAATATAGACCATAAACTTTAATAATGACTTTGCAATAATAAAGTTCACAGATGACTAAGATTATCATAATATAATAAAATTCAAATTCTTCTCATTTGAAATATTTTTGACAAATGATATGCTTCTCAATATTGTCTCATTGGTTTGTTTTGTTTTGTTATTATTGACGAATCAAGAAATGATATTTATCTTAAATTTTTGAATCATTGTGTATGATGCAAAAAGTTGGACAATAAATGCATTGAATAAGTTATGCACATAAATATTGCAAATACGAGTGAATGTGAAACGTATTATGATAAAACCATTGCAACAACCAAAATGTTCAATGATTTGCAAATAATAGGTTATGTAGTTCATCTATCTCCCAAATAAATAACATTGAAAATGAAATGTTTAATTATGATCAAAATATTTTTGAATGTTTGAAT